ATAATAATTATTGGGAAATGCATGGAAAAGACATTGAATGATAAAGCGGGGAGATTGATGTCTCTGTATTGACTGACATGCATGGCATTCCCTTTTGAAAAAGCAATGGAAGTCAATGTAAAGTTATATGTAATCCAATGTAATATAAAGAAGATTATGATGATAATAAAAAAAAAAAGAAAGAAACATTCACATCCGCATCTGCTACCACCATCACTCCCAATCCCACAAGTAGAGGAGCTGGGACCCCAGTGGCCCACACCAGGAAAAAAAAAAAAAAAGAAATCGGACTTCTAGCAGTTTCAAGCAAAGACAGTAGTAACCACGGAAACAAAAAGGTGTCCACAAAAAGCAGTTGACTTAAGGGACCAGCAGTTAGCATAATGGTTATGTCACTGGACTCCCACGCAGTCAACTGCAGTTCAAGTCCCGGACCCAGTGGCTTAAACTCACGCCCGGCACGTGTGCGTGCGTGCCCAAGATCCCTAGAGGAGAATGGAAGAGAAGGGATTGTGGCGTGGCCATCTCCTGGGGGGGGTGGGGCGATTTCTTGCTTTCTATCTCTCTGTCTGGTGAGTGCACGTGCCCGATAGCAAAAACTTCTCCACAAAAAAAAAAAAAAAAAAAAGCAGTTGACTTAAGTCTTAAATTCCAGTTATTTTAAGACCTCAAACTCAGAGACTTATTAATCTATAATTACAATACCACGTCCCCCCCTTTTCTTTAATACCATGCTAACTCCCAGAGGGAGAAGAGTTAGAATCTGGGGTATTAGAGACAGAGATACTGATAGCAGATAGAAGTAAAACTGACAGGAACCAGCAGTTAGCGTAATGGCTATGTTGCTGAACTCCCACTTAGTCGACCATGGTTCAAGACCTGGACCCGGTGGCTTAAACTCACACCGGGTGCGTGTGCGTGCATGCCCAAGATCCCGGGAAGAGAAGGGACTGCAGTGTGGCCATCCCCCATGGGTGTGATTTCTTGCTTTCTGTCTCTCTGTGTCTCTCTGTCTCTCTCTGTCTTTCTGGCAAGCGCACATGCCCTATAGCAAAAACCTTTTGGGGGACGGGGAGAAGTAAAACTGACAGTTCTAGAAGAACTGAAGTAGGAAAAATAGACACCGGCTGACCATACAATTTGAATCCTGGTCCCTGCAGCTTGAAAAACAAGCCAGGTGCATGTGTGAGCATGCCCCAAATCCCAAAAGAATGGAGAAAGGAACATATTAGACACTGTTGTCTGGCAAGCTGAGGCCACATGGGAGGCCCGAGTTCAATTCCCAAGTCAGGCTTGGTGTAACAGGCACCTATAGTCCCAGGCTGAAGCAAGAGGAGAGTGGGCCCATGGCCACTGCAGACAACATAGCTAGATACTTTCTGAAAGAGCTGGATGTGGTCGTGCGCACCTGTCTTCCCAGCTACTCTAGAGGCTGAAGCTGGAAGACCGCAATATAGTGAGACCCTGTCTAAAAACACCCACCCACCCACACCCACACCCACACCCACACACCCAAAAACAAGCCAGGTGCATGTGTGAGCATGCCCCAAATCCCAAAAGAATGGAGAAAGGAACATATTAGACACTGTTGTCTGGCAAGCTGAGGCCACATGGGAGGCCCGAGTTCAATTCCCAAGTCAGGCTTGGTGTAACAGGCACCTATAGTCCCAGGCTGAAGCAAGAGGAGAGTGGGCCCATGGCCACTGCAGACAACATAGCTAGATACTTTCTGAAAGAGCTGGATGTGGTCGTGCGCACCTGTCTTC